GGCTCCCCGGGCACGGGATCCAGGCCCAGAATGCCCACACGCGGGGGCAGTGGTGGGGCCGGCAGAGGCCGGGATCACCGGAAAGGCCGTGAGCGGACAGAGGCTGTGTTAGGACAAGGGGCCTCAGGGGGAGGGCTTTCTCGTCTTTTATTTATTTCTGTAATGTGGTCCTGTTCTTTTTGAAAGAAAATAATAACTGATTTATTTAATGAAACAAAGTAGGTTGCTTATTTTGGGGGTGGCTGTTGTCGTTAATCCTCACGAGAGGATTTTTTCCCATTGTTTTTTAAAGAGAGTAGATGGGAGGGAGGGAGAGAGAGAGACATGGACTGGGTGCCTCCTGCACTCGCCCCGACTGGGGCCGGGGATCGAACCTGCAACCCAGGTATGTGCCCGTGACCAGGAATCGAATCTGGGACCCTTCGGTCTGTGGGCTGACACTCTCACCACTGAGCCACACTGGCCAGGGCTCTTCTATCTTTAATTTATTTCTGTATTGCGGTCCTGTTATTTTTGCAAGAAAATAATAACCGACTTATTTAATGCAACGAGCTGCCCTGAGTGCCATCGACTTCCTCCTTCGGCCGAGGACAGGGCGGCAGGCAGGGTGTGATTTTCAGTCACCTGGGTTCTGGAGGCTGGGAGACCATCACCCCGGGGCCCCCTTCCCAGGGCAGCCTGCGGCCCGGCCCGGCCTTGGAGCACAGGCCCTGGCCCGGACGCGCCTCACCCCTTGGCGAAGGCCTCCACCGCGGACACGTGCAGCTGCTCACGCTGAGTCAGCGCCTGGGCCTGGGAAAGCTCCACCATGCTCCTCACGGCCAGGTCCAGCTCTCTGTCCAGCCTCACGGAGCTCCCGGTGCCGATCAGCACGAGGCCATTAGAGATGGCATGGCCCATCGCTGGGGAGAGGTTGGGGACAGCTGGTGATCCGGGCGCCCCGCCCACCCCAGCCCCACGTGCGAAATAAGCAGCCCAGGTTCCAGGAGGGGCAGGCTGGGTGGCAGGTAGGCCGAGTGCGGTGCCCCCACCAGAATGCAGACCTCAGCCTGGGCCTTGCTGTGCCCAGGAGGAGCGGCAGCCCTGAGTGCGTCCCGCACCCCCCCTAGAGAGGGCAGCCTGGTGAGTGCCAATGTCTGGAGCACCTAACCGCCAGCTGGGTGGCTTTCCTTTTCCAAACCTCACCGTTCCCATCTGAGAAACGGGATCAGTGTCTTCTTTGCAGAATTGACATCCAATTAGGGAAACAATGTGAAAGATGCTTCTCCAGAGCCTGGCATCTCTGCGGAAGCAGCTGATATTCCAACCACAACACTGGCTGGCATCCTCCCTCCCCCCTCCATGCCAATGCCAGCCTGGCCGCTGCCACCCGTGACTCGGGGCTCCTCAGCCAGGGAAGCGTCACTCACCGAAGGTCGGATCTGCTGCCTTCAGCTTCGACAGGCAGCCCTCGATGCCACCAAGGGTCTTGTCATTGGTCCATTTTACATACTGAAATACAAAAGGCCAGACCGAGCTGCCCCCAGGGAGTCCTTCGCTCGAGTTCGTAAAGGCGCGTAACTAAATCAGGATTTTTCTTTCTAAAGCAGAGTATTTTCTGGACTCTAACAACGACAAAAACCCACATAGCTGGGTTGGTCTCACATGAAGAGACCGAACACTCGCAACTCGAGGCACATTTTCTCGGGCTGGTGAGGCTGCTTTTTCCACACACACAAAAACACAACAAATCACAAAAACATCTAAAGGAAGGCGCTGCCTGACGGTGCCGCCTGACGGTGCCCTGCCCACAGCGCCAGCTTCAGCCCCGCGGGGCCTCGCCGGGGGCGCCGCAGTGGGAGCCTTTCCGCCTAGTTGGTTCCCTTTCAGAGGAACCGTAGTGTAAACACTCGCTACGGAAAGTGGGGCCCAGCCATGGAAGCTGAAAGATTAAAACTTACCCTTAAACTCACCTTACCACCACGTGGACAGTTTGGTGTATTTGTTTCTAGTTATTTTTTTTAAAACAATGCCCACTTTTTAAAATCCTAAAACCACAATAATGCATTAGAGGTGAGAGCACGCCCTGCCAGCTGTCCAGCCCATGCCTCCGCAGAATCAGCACGTGTATTTTTTTAATCCTTACCTGAGGATGTATTTATTGATTTTAGAGACAGAGGAAAGGAGAAAAGGGAGAGGGAGAGGGAGAAACATCGATGTGAGAGAGAAATATCGATCGGTTGCCTCTCGTACACGCCCCGACCAGGGATGGAAACCGAAACCCAGGTATGTGCCCTGACTGGGAATCGAACCCACAACCTTTCGGCGTACAGGACAACACTCCCACCGACCGGGCCACCCGGCCAGGGCGCACGTGCATTTCCACAAGGCACCGGGAGCTGGCGTAGAGACTCGAAGTACCCGTGTTCTAGCACAGGATGGCACGGGGAGACCCCAAAACACGAGGCAGAGTATGCACGGGGTGTGGGGGCCGGCACAGCATGGAGGAGCGCGCCGCAGACGAACCCACGCTCTCCCGAGGCAAACGGTGTGGGAAGGGCACGCACGCACCCAGACGCACGGGGGGATCCCGCGAAAGCGGACCACATTGCACCCGTCGCTTCTGGAATGGCCCTTAGATTTCCAGCAGCTTCCTTCTGCTGGCTGGCTGGAGTCGACCTGCTCCTCCCTAGTTCACTGCAGGCGTCAGCTCTCTGGGCCTCAGTTTCCCCACCGGCCACACAGAGTAGCAGCTGGACTTCACGTCGGAGACCCTCCCAGTTCTAAACCTATGGGCTCCTTCTCTGGTGTTAGGAATGACTAGGAGCAGCCAGAGGTGAGGGCAGGGGGTCCCCAGACTTGCCCCAGGACAGGGTCCCGTGCCCTAAATGGAGGAGCCCCCCATCACACCGGCAGCAGGCCGCACCCCGTGTGTGTGGCTCCCGGTGCGGGGCTCAGCACCCTCACAGGCCATCCCCAACAAGGAGAGTGCCGCGGCCTGCCTGCCGCTAAGGGGACCTCTCAGCCTTGCTGGGCGCTGGCCGAGCAGTTTCTAACCTGTCCCCTCTCCCCACGTCCTGTCCTGGGGTACAGAGTACATAGGCTCCACCGCAGGTGATTGCTAAAGTCACCGGGAAATTTAAAAAGCACTCACCACTTTTTCCCCCGGCCAGCGTCGCTCAGTGGTTAGAGGATTGGCCGATGCACCCACAGGTTGTGGGTCTGATTTCCAGTCAAGGGCATGTCCCTGGGTTGCAGGTTTGACCCCCACCCCAGTCGGGTGCATGTGGGAAGCATCCATGTGAGATGTTTCTCTCTCCTCTCTCTCTCTGTCCCTCTGGCCCCCTCCCTTCCTCTCTCTCGAGAATCAATGGAAAAAAATATCCCCAGGTGAAGATTAACAACAACAAAGCACCATCACTTCCAAAGCCGCTGGCTCTGAGCCGCCTGAGCCATCGGTCCCGCCAGGACGCTTCAGAGCGTTATGAAGAATGGCCCTGGCTGGGCGGCTCAGGCGATTGAGAGTCGTCCCGTGTACCGCAAGGTCGCCGGTTCGATTCCTGGTCAGGGCACATGCCCGGGTTTTGGGTTCGATCCCCAGTCAGGGTGTGTACGGGAGGCAACCAATCAGTGTTTCTCTCTCTCTCTCTCCCCTTCCTCTCTCTCTCAAATCAGTAACAATAATAAAAAAGCATTATGAAGAACGTTGGGGTCCCACGAAGCCCTGCTGCACCCACGTTTCCCAGGAGGTCTGGGTAGGGAGGGGTGGATGGGCTTCACTGTTTATAAAGCTGGGAGAGCTGACACCGAGGGAAAGCTCGGAAAGCATGAGGCCATCATCCCCCAGCTTTACCTGGAGGGCCAGTCAGGACGCACAGTTAGCAGGCGGTTAGATGGGGGACAGGGCACCCCTGCACACGGCGTAAGTACCGTTCACGTCGAGGCATGAACAAACGGAGCTGTGAGATGGGCCCCAAAGTTTAACGATGAAAAATTATTTAAAAGCATTCAGCAATGTCAGAAGCCTCGCCAGGGACCGTTATGGAAGGGAAGGGGCTGCTTCTCTCGGAGACCGTTACCTGGGTCAGGGTGGCATCAAACAGCCTGCAGGCCTCGTTGCTCGGGGTGGAGAGCGGGAGACCGGCATCCTTCCACGCCTGGGCACGGCAAGAGGACACATCAGGGCCTTATTCCACCTGCTCCTCCGAACAGACGCCCGGACCCAGCCCCAAGCAGGTCATATCTGGGATGCCTAGCAGGGCGCACAGGTTCCCTTCCACCCAGCCTGTGGCTGGCGCGGGACTCCAGCGCAGGGGCTCCCACAGCAGAGAGCAGAGCCCCGGGGGACAGGTCCCCAGGCAGATCCCAGCGGCCCGTAAAGCGCTGGGTGACCTCAGGGCCCCGGCTGGCCCCTCTGAATGGGCTCAAGGATGCAGGGGGGACTGGGAAGTTTCCCGGGGAGCAGACGCTGGGAGGGGGGGTCTGAGGGGGCAGAACAGCCACCTGGCGCTAGAGTGCAAGGTGGGGAGGGGTTCCCACCTGGCCGGCAAGGGGTACACCACCTGCTGACCCCCGAAACCGTTCCTCTCGCCTCTGCGCCTTATGGGCCTATTCTGACCTTTAGGTCTGTCGGTGGAAACGTCTCGAGACTGTCAGGACTGTTCCCTGTAACCGCCGCCCTGGGTGTCCTGCCAGGGGCGCTTCCCCGCGACACCCCTGGGGCGGGAAAGGTCCTGCGCTCCCCGCGGGTGCTCGGGCCCCGCCCTCCGGCCTCCGCCTTCGCGGTCGGGCTCCCACCCCGGGAAGTGCCCAGGGAAACCCCGCGGCGTCCCGCCGGGGTAGCGCTCGCTGGGAGGTCCCGGGGTCTCCCTCGGCGGGGGGCCGGGGGTGCGGTCCTCCGGGCCCCGACGAGCGCGCAGGGACCCTGCCCCGCTGTACCTGGCAGTCGCG